CTTAAGTTTACCTTATTATAATAAATTATGATCGATCTTAGTAAAGAACTTAATAATATTCTTTCGTTCTTTGAATTTAAGCCATTCGCAAACTTGTAGTTTCATGACATGGTCATATCATGAAACTTTTCTCGATTTTCTGTCTATGTTCCTCGATATTTAGGTAAAAAAACTCTACATATTCCGATCACTCCTATCACTCTCAAAGTCACGTACTGGGCGGAATTTATCAAAGAGATGATACGCGACATCCCTTTAAAGAGAGCGTCACGATCGTTTACCAATTTAGTAAGTTCATTTCGGGAGCCAACTAACTTTATCTCTGACTTTGTGTAGTATTTGTTGGGTGTGATATGAGTGTTACTGTTGAGTATCGTCTTGTATGTGTAATTAAAGCTAGCTGGCTATACATGAAATGGTAAGGGAAAGCTGTAACCTATCACAAACAACCCTACGATTCTACCTTTTTTTTATACACAGGAAAATGCGTTACATATACCCCGCCGCGGGCGATGACATGGCGGGGTTATGTGGAACACTCCCGTTGGTCTGTTGAGACTCGCCACTCAGCCCGGTGGTTGTCCCCTCCTCCTCACGTTATGGGAGGTACCCGGGTGAGTTTGGGTACCGCCCCGGTCAGGCAACATTGTGCCCTGTGCCAGCTGAAGGGGGAAGGAGAAGATCGTACGTCTTCGCCGACCCCCCAACCTTCTGCGCCGGATTTGATCCACATGGACGTCCTCCTCTCTAGCTCTTTATGCGGTCTCCTTTTGCGAGATCACATCCTCGTAAAAGGAGACCACAGCATCCCATGCTCTCTCACCAGCATGGCTTGTGTCACGCTGGTCAGCGAGAGATCATTCCCGAGGACGCTCGTCAGTTCGCTGCGAGTACGAGACAATGCTGGACACTCTTGCAGCGTATGCTGCGCTGTGTCAAAGTCTCGCCTTGCGACTTTGTTGCATCCATGCGGATTCTTCGGCAAAAAATGTGGAACGCTTCACGATTTTGCGTGTCTTCCTTGCGCAGGGGCCATGCTAATCTTCTCTGTATCGTTCCAATTTTAGTATATGTACTGCCGAAGCAAGTGCACCCTACGATCCTACCTAACAGCCTAGCCCTAACTATATACTACTATATATACATATATAGATAGGTAGAGGAAGCCTGTTACCTTGCGACCTAAGGTAATAGACGGAAGGTGGGAAGGATAAGGGGTGCAAGGAATGGATTTTCTCACTGCCAGTCTCACAGACTCACAAGACTGATCAGATAAGCTGACGACTAAAGGTGTCTTGGCCGCACTGAGAGGATGCTGTAGTCAGGAGAGTTCCGTCGTCGTCAATGAGACAGCGTTGATGTCTGGATTCAAAGAGATTTTTATTAAAACTAGACTATTTATACAAATTCTATTTACATGTATGTATGTATATATTTACAATATAATTTTTAAATGTTAAACAAAGGAATCGTCTACTCAGCAGGCTGGTCTTGCACATTGCTATTCGGTCAGTGCACTGCTGAGTAGCCTATTATCGTCACGTGGTAATTTATGTCTGGTCAGGTTGTCTGTTCATGTCATGAGAACGTGAACATCGCATATTGCTAACCACTCGGCCACCATAGTCGTCAAATAAACAAATAATCTCAGTACTAAAAAAACCGACCTCAAAAGTACGTGGAATACGTCTATTTGCTAAGTTTTTTGAAATATCCCCTAGTTCGCCACTATACAGGACTTGACACTGGAGATAATAAAAATTGGTTCTCACTACCCAAAGTATATTGAGAAAAAAACGCCTTGAATTGGAGAAATAGCAAAATCAACCATTAAAATAATTGCTGCAAAATAAAGTTTAAGCGCTATTTATAAAAATGAATCTTCATGCGTGAACAGCCACCCTTCGAGGTGGATAATTTTCTTCAAAATGAAATGGGACTACTATGGAAGTACCCGCTTTTCAACAAAAAAGAATCATGAAAATCGGTTCACAAATACCGGAGTTATCGCGTAACATACATACAAAAAAAAAGAACATACAGTCTAATTGAGAACCTCCTCCTTTTTTGAAATCGGTTAAAAATATGTCTTACCTCTCACGTGCAATAGATATCGAGAAAAACGATTATTCTGATTTGAAGCACTCTTGTTCAAATAACCATAAACACAAAAATTTGACGACATTTTTTAAACAGCGAGTGAATATTTAGATTTTATAACGAATGGCGTGTGCGACGACTAGCGATGGTAGAGTCGAGTTATTTCACTCGATTAACTCGTGTTACTCCCGCAACGAGTCAACTAGAGCTACTTTTTTCTGAACTCGAGCTAACTAGGTTCGGTGCCCGCCCCGTGCCTTACTACATTGATACAACGCACAGGCTGCTCCTTCTCGATCGGTGTCGGTTCGGCGGCCTCCGAGCACGCTCGAATCGCGGTCGGCCGGCCCATCGTGCCCAACTCGATGAATTATCGGTTCGAGTTCTATTCGCGACTCGCCGCGCCCGTTGCTGTCAGACACCGAGTCGAGTCAACTCGAGTTGAAAAAATACAACTCGTCGCATCGCTAGCGACGACCCGCGCTTTGCAATGCGAGTACACTGCGAGTTTACGCGAAGTGTGCGTCCATACACAGGCTTTCACACATATAAACTTATTTATTTTTAATTTGGTCTTACTATACTGTGATAGCTTGTGGCTTTCGGAGAACACAAATACCGGCAGTGTTTCGTTCCTTTTCTTAATTTTTGAAGTCAATGACATAAGAATGGAATGTGTGAATGGAATGAAATCGAAATAGGGTTGGTGAGGGTAGAATTAAATTGTAAAGTCTGACGAAGGAGCAAGATTGTAATACTTAGTTCAGGACACTTATTTGAAGTGCATGCAAGTGAATTAATGACTCCGCATCACATGTGATGTGCTTCGATTGAATCTTGTTTTGACAGTTCGTGGAAGGACGTCGACCTTTTACAATGTTAGGCAAATAACGTCTAAGGTTGAAAGCGCACTTTCTTGCTGAACTATCTTAGTAATCATCTTATTGTATATATTACATTTTTTACACACTTATTTATGTATATGTGTACCTATGTGTATATATTACACTATTTACATATTGATGCTATTTATTATTATTCATTATATTACTTATGCAAGTAATGGTATTTTTAATTTTTTTATTTATTTATGTACTTTATTATATTTCTTCCGCGCTCGCTCTTGCACGCTATTTCCCGCTTATAACCTTAGCTCTCACTGCCCTGGGTTGGCTGGAAGAGATATCTTTTAGAGATAAGTCCACCTTTGCCTACTTTCTGTTATCCGCTCACGCGATGCCCTCCTCCTACCGCAAAATGGCGGCTATTTGGATTCGCAAATTAGAAAAGCAATCGGTTTAAATACAAGTTTTTATAAATAAAAATTATTATTCTGCATTGCTAAATAAATACCCTCCGTACTACCAACAAAAACATCTCAAATAAAATGCAGTAATACACCGCAAATTCTGCACTTAAAAAGCACTAATGAAATTTTTGGTGTACTTGGATAAATACCTATGATAATATTCCGTTTGAGTGGTTCTAATGTTTACCATGAAATTACTCCTTGAACTTAAACATTTATATTCAGGGTAAACTTAAAAAACGCTACTTACGGTATGTTTTCGATCAATAAACACCGCAATCACCAGCCCAAACAATAACACACACGATTGTCGTGACGTATTTTTGAAGTTGTTTATTTTTTTTAAATGACAGACTCAGGCATTAAAAACTTTATGGTTTGCTAGAGTAGTTACCGAAATAGCAATTAATATTACTTCTTTTACCTGTTATAACTTCGATATCCGATAAATCGGTATAAAATCATCACCGGCACCTCTAGGTGTGCTATGCGTCTACGGCTGCATGTATCGCGTGAGCGGTTAATCTAATATTTCTGTTGTATTTATTTAGTGCAATAAAGAATATATTAAGAACATAAAGTTTTAGACACTAAGATAGATGCAAAGCATATAATTTTATGTGATTTCTT